ACAGGCACGCTCGCAGTGCGAGCACACATCGGTGCGGAGGCGAACGTATGGGAGCGTAAGGATGGTACGTCCGGTCGCGGACGTACGTGCAGCGGAGCACACACATCAGGCAGAGGCGCAGTAGCGACTCTGCCTCCAGCGAGCTCACTAGCTCGCCTGCTCGCCTTCTTCCGTGTAACGATCTCGTCGGGCTCGCGATTTTTGGAGCTCGTGCCTCGTATTCGCAAACGACCCACCCACCCGAACACATTCATGTTCTCCCGCCGGTCTCCCCCGCACGCGCGCGCGTGTCGGGCTCGAGGCCGGTTGGGCCTGGGCCATTGATTGCGGTGAAGATAGGACAGATCAGGCAGGCAGATCAGCAGACAGGCACGCTCGCAGTGCGAGCACACATCGGTGCGGAGGCGAACGTAACTGTTACGCCATCAGCCCAAAATGAAACGTAGTGCGAGCTTAGCGAACAGACCTGCGCAGCCAGCCAGCTAGTGAGGCAGGACGGACCAGTGAACAGTGAGGCAGGCTGGCGCGGGCCGTCTTGCCCAGCTGGATCAGACTCTTACATCGTCTCGGTTACTTAACCATCCTTCGGCTCTTGCAGTGCTGCACTTGTGCGATATCTCTGTGTTCCCCGGCTATACAGCTTCTCTGACAGGTTATTTTGCCCACTTAGCCTTTTGTAGCTCTGCTTCCTTCCTCCCCCGGCCATCTCTCTCTCTCCTGCTGAAGTAGCTGTGCCCCTCTCACCGCTATATAGCGGATCTTCAAGAGCACGTCGACCAGAACATGGCGCATCAAGAGCACGACAACGTGGACCATGACCACAACAACGTCGACGAGCATGAGCATGACGGCGCAATGGAGGATGACGTCGATGCACACGGCGGTGGCCAGGATCAGCACGAGCACGAGATGGAGGTCGACGCGTGTGATCAAGACCAAGAGATGGCTGAGGGTGAGAATCCCAGGCCAGGTGCGAGGGAGGGTGAGGTTCCTCCTGCACCGAACACACACGGTGGTGTCTCGCCTGATGGTGTTGCCTGTGGCTGCTGTGCCTGTGGCTGCTGTGCCTGTGGGTGGTGTGCGTGTAGCTATGCCTCATGACGTCCCTCGCACGTCCCGTGACGGCAAGGATGTCAACCCACATGGGCACGACGGCGCCAGTCTACAGAGACACCCAGTTCGCAGACAGGCGCGTCATGACGTGTGATGTGTGCCAACGTTTGTGCATATCTGTGTGGGACTGGTCGATTGTGATGGTCTCAATCGATTGGATTGAGTCATTGCATTCAGTGTCTCAAGCACGGCACAATCAGGTGTCTGCTGTCTCCTCGCTCTCAAGTCTCCCGTCAAGCACACAACAACATCACCAAGGCATCCGCAGGCCAATGCGCTGATCGAACGCTTTAACCGTACCTTGTGAAGGATTGGATACGTCCGTATCTCAGCAAGGAGCAAACGAACTGGGACAGAGTGATTCCCTTGGCCTTGTACGCGTATCGTACGACGGAGCATGAGTCCACAGGATTCACGCCATTCAAGATGCTGTACGGCCGAGAAGCGGTGCATCCGAGCAGCACGGCAAGGCTTGTCGCGATGAATGCAGAGCCAATCGACGTCGAGGAAGCCGTCGAGCTGATAAAAGAGGGTCTTCAAGCGGTCCACAAGAAAGCTCGTGAGACGATGAGCAAGAAGAAGCAGCAGGCTACTGAGCGCGAGAAGCATTTGCCTGCACCAAGGCAATTCCAGGAAGGAGACAGAGTGCGCATATACAATGACCAAGTGCATAAGTGTCTCAGCAAGAAGCTGGCCTCACCTTGGCGGACAGTCGGCATCGTTCAGGAGAAGAAAGGACCAGTTACCTACAAGGTCCGTGTGTGTGGCGATCAAAAGGCGAGGAGCATCAATGTCGATCGGCTGAAGAGAGCACCACCACCAGAAGACGAGGAAGCGCCACCACCAGAAGACGAGATCGAAGTGACGGAAGGCGACCTGAAGAGGGACAAAAGGCAGACAGTCTTCAATCAGCACGCATTCTTGTCGCCTGAGCAAGAGCATACCTTGAAGGATTTTTCCCTCGAGGAAGACCACGTGCCGACAGCCCGAACGCAGAGAGCATCAGAGGCCACATTTGACCCGATGGCACATGACCCGAGCCTCAGAGACGTCCAACCAGACCAGCGATTTGGGCGTGGCGAGCGGCACGAAGTCGAACAGGTCATCGGCAAGAGGACGCACCACGGCAAGGTGCAGTACAAACTCAAATGGCGCTGGTATCCGCTCTCGCACGCAACCTGGGAAGACGAAGAGATTCTCACTTGCACAGAACTCGTACAGGAATACGAAAACAGTGACAACGTGCCTGACCTGGACGAGCATGCTTCGCTCTTTCCCGCGTTGTACAGTGTGGTGAGAGTCCGCCATGTAAAGGAGCTCAATCGCGAGCACACCGTCAAGGTGACGGGGTTGGACAAGGAAGGCATACAGATACAATACCTGAAGGAATCGACGCGCACAAAGAGACTAAAGAAGAAGAGTCTCGTAGGACGGAAGCGGACCATTCCTTTGGCTAGCTTCCTTCGGAATTACCAATGGGAGAGAGAGTGTGACGATCCAGCTGTGCCTGCTCCATTTGGCGGCACAGCATGGCAACCGATCAGAGTGCATGGACTGACGAGTTCCCAGCGCTCTTGAAACGCTACCTGAGGGATGACAACAGCAGCAGCCACAGCATCCTTCTCTCTATGTGCATGAATGTGTGGGGGGGGTGTGTTACGTGTGTGTGCGTGTGTGTGTGTGTACCTGTGTTGCTGCTGAGGGTGCGTGACTACATGACTGCATGATTACATGATTGCATGAGCCTGGCTGCGTTTCCTTGAAGGTGTAACTTTAGACACGTCATCGTCACGCAGCCAGAGATAGAAAGGGAAAAAGGGAGAGAGAGAATTCGAAGCAAGAGGCGCATGGGTCCAGGGGATCGGCTATCGGCTGTGCCGCGCCCCGGATCCTGCATGCACCTCTGCGGGGAAAGCGATACGTGTTCATGTATGTGTTCATGTCCGTGTACGTGTTCGTGTACGTGTTTGTGCATGTCCGTGTATGTGCTTACGTGTCATGTGGGTGAGCACGCTCAGGAGATGACAGTGGCAGCCAAATCAAGCCACACGTGCGGTCGGATAGAGGCAGTCCGACTGTGGCCACGAGAGAGATTCGGTGTGCCAACCATGTCAGTCAGCATAATGGGAGAAGGGAAGAGAAGAAGAGCGGCACTCCTTTGGGGTCGTCGGTGATCTGACGCGCGATTTCAGACCACTTCGTCTCGGTGCTGGATCCGCGTCTGCTGCTGGGATGCTACTTCGCCTCGGTAGCATGAAGCTCGCCCAGGCATCCCTTTGATCACCTCCCCTTGGTGCTGCATCGCTTGGACGCTCTGTCCTTGATGCCATTGCGTTGGACAGGCTTGTAGGCACTCGAATAACAAGACGAATGTGAATCCCAGCTCCGAAGAGCCCTGAAACGACAGACAGACAGACAGAGGGCGACTTGAGCGCACAGATCTCCTGACAATGTGACTGGTGGTGCTCACCTTATGTGTTGTTGTTGAGATGGCGATGCGATGATGCTAGAAGGTGCAGGCAGAGAAGACTGTGTGTTTGTTCTCGTCGCCTCGCTGAACAGCAGAGTCGCCGTCGTGTTTTTGCATGATGAGGGGTAGTGAGTCACCACAATGGGTTTCTGTGAGGCTACGTACCCGAGAGGTAGCTGAGGGATATCATCAGAAGGCGAATTGGTTTTGGTTGGTTATTGGGTTTAACGAGACTCGTGAAGCCGTCCGGTATGGCCCACCCCAATGTCGGTTTGACAGCCTGTCAAGCCGACATTGGGGTGGGCCACCCGTTGCCTCACTCAAAGGTCGGCTGGATGGACCATACATAGGGTAATGACCCACCACCCACCCTCATCTCGTGGCCAGCCTGGCCAGGATCACGGCCGTCTCTCGAGGGAAGCAACAGGTTGTCTGCATGCAGTGATGCAGTGATTCACCAGTGAATGAATTGATTCACAATGATCCATCATTGATTGACTCATTGCTTGATCACATGAATTCCCATCATCATTCTCATCGCAAAACGGACTTTTGCCTTAGGGTATAAACGGAAAATGCATTCACGCAAGGAACATGCATGCGAAGAGTCTTCCATGCACACCACATGGAAATGAGTCAGTCAGAGAATCCATCCCTCTCATCGTCCACATCATCGTGACCAGAACTTCGCCCAGCACTGGGTCACAGAGACCCTCGTCGGCTGGAGGGGCGAGAACTTCAAGCATGACGTCACCCATCTCGCGATTGCTGATGGCGCACATCGTGTCGTCGCGTTGCTGGTGATTTTGTACCGCTACATCATCTACGAGATCCCTCTCCCCGCCCCGGTCAAGACCTTCTACAAGCAGGGCCTCCTCATCGAGATCCGACCATTCCAGAGCAAGGACGAGGCAGAGCTCTTCAACGAAGGTCAGAGGGGGGGCCACCTTGACCGCAGAGTGGGCCGGCGGTCAGACGAAACATACCTTCCCTGGTTTGCCGCTGGGACATCTGTATGAGTTGGTTAATGAGTGGACAAATGAACCGGGAGCACTCTGCGGCATCAGAGAGGCGAGCACCACCCCACCTCAGGCCATCTGTCCATTGCATGGTCGTTGCTTGTTGTGTCCGCCGTTCAGGTCGGTTGTACGCAGCCGAGAAGAAGATGCACAGGACCGCCCTGCAGCAGAAGTCTCTGTGGAAGAAGCAGCTCAGCCGCTTTCTGACAGTGGGCGGTCAGGAGGGGTGGACAACGACACACACCAGCGGCAAGTACGCCGGCCAGCCGCACAGACAACGGAGGCCGACGAGGGCCTCTGGTCACGATGATGTGGACGATGAGAGGGATGGATTCTCTGACCGACTCATTTCCATGTGCATGTGCATGGAAGACTCTTCGCATGCATGTTCCTTGCGTGAATGCATTGTGCATACGTTCAGTCATCGAGGAGAAACGCATGGGGTTTCTCATCCTTTTGAGGTGTTTTTCACACAGGTAGCTTCTGTTTGTCTCAATCTTCCCCCTCCCCCCCATCATTTATCGAAAGGTGAGAGGTCTGCAAAAAAGACTGCCACTTGGGACGTGCGCGACACCAAAATAAACAAAGGCAGGCACAGGGCGTGGCAGGTAGGAAAAGGCGATTCGAAGGGAGGCGTGAAGAGAAGCATGAAGGGAGACAGACTGAGATAGAGGGAGGGACGGCCAGGAAACAATATGAATGCTACACCACCGACCGGTATCCCACCGCCACTGGTGCGACACAAGCAAGGGCGGGGAGCGGCGGACCGGCTCCAACAGACCTTTAGCAGTAGTCAGACATCTCTTGCACTTCTATCCTTCTGACCCATATTTAGCTGACCCGCTCAACATGCCCTGTACGCTGTATAGACACTCACTGCATTCCCATCAGTCGACATATCAATTGACAATAAAACACGCAAGGACACACACAAGCATGGGCACGACAAGAGCTTTGTGCTCACATGCTATGGATGCACGGATCAATGGCGCACACACATGAATGCGGGAAGACCCGCATACCGGAGCACAAATGTGGGAGCATATGTGTGTAAGCTGAAATACTGCGTCGCGGCCATCAGCACGGTGAGAGAAGGCGGCAATGCGGTCAAAGAAACACCAACACGCCTGCCAGACATACACAGGAGCGCTCAGACGAGTAGATCTGTGTGCCGGAATCCTGCGTGACGGTCGACGCGCTCTCCACGACAAGGCAAGGTCTGGGCGAAAAGCTGCATGGCGAGCTAAAAAGCTGGCGATCTGCCCGAGAAGATAGCTTCCGCTGCAAAAAGCCATCTGCCGCTGCAGAAAGACATCTCGCCACTCAAAAAGACAGCTTTCCATTGCAGAAAGCCAGATGGTCCATCAAAAAGACAGCTTTCCGTACAGAAAAACAGCTTTTTGCCACAGAAAGACAGCTTTCTGCCACAGAAGGACAGCTTTCTCGGGCTCCAGACAGCTCGCTGAGCCAGACAGCTCGCTGAGAATTACCTCTTGAGCAAAGGGTGTCTGAGTGAGTGACTGTCTGAGTGATTGTCTGAGTGTGTGTGTGAATGAGTGCGTGGTGTGCATGTGTGTGTCGGTTGGCCATGGATGGATCATGTGAATGGACGGCTTGCAGAGACCCTCCATGGCCAGTTGACGCTTCAATGCGTGCATGTGTGCGTGTGAGTGTGGTGCATTGTAGCAGCTGGTGCCTCGAGAGGCAGGCAGCCGTCAGACTGATCAGCGTGCTGTAACGCCCGCCGGAAAGCTGTCACGCCCATCGGAGAGATGTCACGCCCGCCGGAAAGCTGTCTTTCTGCCTCAGCGAGCTGTCTGGAGCCCGAGAAAGCTGTCTTTCTGTGCAGAAAGCTGTCTTTCTGTGGCAGAAAGCTGTCTTTCTGTACGGAAAGCTGTCTTTTTGATGGACCATCTGACTTTCTGCAATGGAAAGCTGTCTTTTTGAGTGGCGAGATGTCTTTCTGCAGCGGCAGATGGCTTTTTGCAGCGGAAGCCATCTTCTCGGGCAGATCGCCAGCTTTTTAGCTCGCCATGCAGCTTTTCGCCCAGACCTTGCCTTGTCGTGTCCCTTTGGTTCATGTGAAAGGCGATGAGTCAAAAGATTTCTGCGCCTCCCCATGAGTGCGTCCACCCCTTGGAGGCTCCCAGTTACTCACCTGACTACACAGAGATATTGCCGAGAGAGGCAGTCAGCGATAAATGTGGCGCCGTCGATATATGTGTTCAGTTGCCGAGTGGCGAGCTCTGCACAGTGACCCTTGGCAGCAAAGTTTCTAGTTGCTCTTGCGTGGTGGTTTTGGACCACGCAATGCCACTTGCCACCGGGGTCGTCTGAACGCCGCCACATCGTCGAACCAAGACGTCTCACCACCGAAAGCAAACTCCAGAGAGCGTGTATCCCACTCTTCCACAACCACGCAGGTGCCACGTCTGTGTACCACGCAGTGCAATGCAGCTCAAAATTGTAGATGTGCATGATAGCCCTCATTAACTGATTCACGCACGTGTGCTAGAATGAGGAAGAAAGGGACGAGGGCTGTCGTGTGCATCCCCCGGCCTAACTGCCGCCGGGGTTTCGAATTCTATGGGCTAAGGGCCGGTAAGCCCGTTCCGTCCGCGTGTATATGTGGAGGTGTGGATTTGATATGAAGGCGCTGATAGTGCTGCTCGTCGCCTTGCCCCTCATCTCAGGACAGGTCTGCCGTACCCTTCGTCGGGTGGTCGATATTGCTGGTTTTCTTATCTTCAGACAATTTCGACAGACAACGTGACGACTTCCGACAATTTCAGCACTGTGACGACATTTGACGACATTCACACGACAGATGAGGGGTACTATATGAATGGGGACAAGTGCTTTTGTCCGGGCCTCGGAGGCTCTTGTTATGGCGAGTGTGGGCGCAAATATGACGCTGCAGAAGTGGCCAGTGTTGAGGCCTTCAAATATGGACGCTTTGAAACGCGCCTGTTCCCGAGTATAGAGGTTGACGGCACTGTGGCCACGTTCTTCCTCTTCAAGAACGACACGACAAGGTGGAGGGGGCGTCCTGGCAAGAGATGGATTTCGAGGTCCACGGTATGGGGGCGCACAAAGATGAGCCCATCCAGACTAACGTGATAACGGGCACCATGGAGGAGCGCAGTATGTCTCAGAAGTTTTTCGCCGCACCCGGTAGGCCAGGACGGAAAGCGGCACAAACGAAAGCTATCAAAAGAGGATTCCACCACTTTGCTGTCGAGTGGACGCCCGATCATGTCTCATGGTATTTTGATGAGCGACGCATGCGTCGTGTCGTCTCTTGCGATGCTCCCGGAGCAGACGCGGAAGAGTGCAGCCCTGAAGTGTCACAGCTCAACGGGGCAGCTAATCTTAGGATGTCCTTGTGGCCAGTTGATCCGTCGCTCAAGTGGGCCGGGCATTGGGCCGGAGTATTCGATGAGAAACATACTAAGCTTCCGCTCACCGTGTACTACGACTACGTGAAGGTGTATGACTATGATCTCATTTCCAAGGGTCGGGAAGGAGGAAGGGAAAGAGAGAACATGGTGATCATTCGCTTCTGTCTGTCTGTATGATGGTAATCCCTCAGGGTTCCTTGAAGTGGGCTGATGACTTCACTTCGTTCAACAGCTCTCGGTGGGAGGCAGGCAGACACACATTTAGCAACAACTACGCCCATTTCCGTCCCGACAAAGCCATCATTGTCAAGGGAGATGATGTGAATGCGTCATACCTTGCCCTCTCTCTTACACCAGCCAATGCCAGCATCGTGGTCCCGGTTCCTCGGGACACCAAGCGCAACCGCTACGAACTCAACAATGCCTGCGAAGCTGGCACGACCGTCGTGTGGCAAAAAGGGCTGCGCTATGAAGGCGGCATTCTCTCATTCGCAATGCACGTTCCGGCCGATGATGGCCTAGTCCAGTGTGCTGTCGCCTGCGCGAAGACAGTAGGGTGTCGCGTATTTTCTGTGTACGAAAGAGGCTATTGCAGTGGCTTCATGTCTCCCGATCAACAAGTCCAGGACGAGAGAGCCGATGCAGGATTCATCTGCATGGACGGTGAGCCAGCGGACGATCGTGTTTTCCGTCACCTTCGGGATACCCATCATGGGGCACACTCAGCAGAAGAAGCCCTTGCGAGGAATGGGACAGGGGACACACAACATGATGACGTCTCCGACGCCGACATGATCTGCGATGTGCTTTTTGTACACACGTTGATCACTCACAGAATCACGCCTAGGGTTTGGTTCTTTCTCTTTTTCTTTTCTGTTTTTCTCGGACCGTCTTTCTTCTCCTTTTTTGGCCGTCTTTGTTTTTCTTCTGGACTGTCTGAGTTGCCGAATGAATTCATTATCGCGTGAAACGGACTTTTTCTCATGATAAAACAGACTTCTTGCCAGCGTCGGGCAAGCCTTGAGAGGCCTTACGGCCCTCTTGATCGAATGCGACACATTTGCAGTGAAGTGCTTGTGCGAAAAAAAAAGACGCGAGCACAAAACACTTCGCCATTCCGCAGGGCGTCAGTCGAGTCACATAAATGTGTGCTTGCATGTCAGTCAAGCAATGAATTGATTCCATTCATTCATTCATCCAGTGAATCAATTCGCTTTCTTGGCAAACGGACTTTTTCTCAGCGTGAAACGGACTTCTGTGCTATGTGATACATGTAGAACTCATCGAACGACGCGTGAAGGTGCATTCCCGCAACACATGAATGCGGTCAGTACAGGGCTGATTGGTTAGACTTTTGGTTGGTATATACTCGCAAACGAGTGAGTGGTCTATCTTCTCCTTCTTTCATGCTGGGGATCTCGCCGTGAATGACTCACTGGGGCCGTTTTCCATCACATTGACTCTCTTTCCCCCGCTCAGAACGACTCTGAAACGACGAAAAACCAGCCATTCACTCACTCATATGGGTGCGAGTGGCTGCGAAGCCCTTTGGTGTCTCCGTGTCTGACTCACCGTTGATCTCCACAAACCAGTTTGCATGCCAGTGGGCCCATGACGGCACAAAAGGCATGAACAGCAGGCATCACAGCAAGCAAATCACATATTAATCATGCCGCCCCGCCGCCTGCAGCGTGAATGCATCAGTCGAAATGATCATCAAATCGCGTCGCTCGCGCGATGGGTGGATGGATGGATGGGTGGTTGGGTGGGTGAGCCATTGGGTGTAAGGGGAGGGGAGCGAAAGGCAGGGGAGGGAGACATCAGCCCCGCACAAAGGTGTGGGCTGGATGAATATCATCAGATGCCTCAGATGACTCAACTGACCATCCTGTGATTCACCAATGGGCCTTTGCTGCCTTTCAAGCGCGAAGCAGCTGCTCTTCCGTTTATGTCATCGTGGCTCAAGCTCGGTGCAAACTCGCCTTTTTGGTCGCAAATCGCTTGCCGAGGTTGAGTCATCTTCTGACAATCAAAATGCCTTTATTTCTCCATGGAGTCACTCTTTCATCGGTCCGCTCTTCCACAGAGCGGTGCTTCATCGTCTTCCAGTCATTTTGAGCCATGAGTGGTCGGCCCAAATGGCTGATTTGAGTCTGTTTGTGAGTTGATTGGCTTATGCGGTTCATTTTGCTTGTGAACAGAGTGATCACAGTCACCAATGGGCTGATTGCTTGACAGAAATGATTGCTTTATGTGGTGATTGCTTTGTCACATGAATGAGACACGCGATAAGCAACCGAGACACGATGAGAATGAGCGATGGTGGTGTGCTGTGCTTCTCTCTGATGCCGCTCTGTACTCCTCGATCACTCACTCATACATAAACATGCGTATACAGGTGACTGCTTCACTCACTAAGGGAGGGTCGACCCACCTGCTTGCCGGCCCGGCAAGCAGGTGGGTCGACCCGGCAAGCAG